AGTGAAGATGCTGGAATTCACAAGTATCAGAAGACAATCCTCATCTGCACCAGCAGGAGGCCAATGTGAAATGCCTCCCCTTGAGTCTTAAAGGCACATCTTCCTGTCTTAAAGTACACATGCTCCCTGGTTGTTGAGAAAGCAAGAAAAAAAAAACAATTTTGTTAACCTCTTTGTCCCTTCAATTCCTAATATCCATTATCAAGACTGAATTTAAATTTTGATACTATCTTTCTTCCTAGTATGCCTCTTCTATTTATTAAAATTATTAATATTGTCTTGTATATTAATAAAATATATTATTCCTATGTTTGTTAATAATTACATTATTATTTATATATTTCTTGCTAAAATTGGTGCTATCATGTGTGCTTTGATATTTTTCTTTACTTAGAAAATTGCTTGTGTAGTCAGGATAGATTCATGTGTAGTGTAAAATGTTTATCTCTAACTTTTTTGCATTAATGTATTTTTTAGTCTTAAAAAATAATTTTTGTCTTTTTCTGCTCTCACTAAATAGATATACTTATTTTCCCTTTAAATAGATAGGTGTTTGCTCAAAACAATATATACCTAGGAAATATTTCATCCTTCATTTTATATGATAATGAAGATTTTATTTCCCACAAAGAACAAGAAATATCATCAGAAGCAAATGAATAAGGTGTTCACTAATATAATCCATATAAATTTATATGCTAGAAGAATATGTAATCAAATGACAGGAAAATAAAATGTCCCTCAAGAAAATAATAGAAAAAATGTTAAACAATGGATTCATTGCAAAGAAAAATATCTTAAAATTATATCTTAAAACCATGAGATACAGTCCTTGGAAAGTTTCAAAACGTCTTGTAAACATAAATTGTATTGTTCTAATCATTTAATGAAACTATTTCAAATTATAGGTGAGAAAACTAGAGCAGAAAGAGATTCAAAGTCTTATTCCAAAGCATTTTTAAGGCAGAAATAGAGAACCAATTTATATATCATTTTTCCCTAAATGATAAATCCATTAAAAGAACTTTGGGGATGTTTGCCCAGGATCAAACAGAGACGGTACATAGGTTTCTCTCACCCACCTCTTTCATACACACATACATGCACAAAAAATTGACCAGTTAAAATGAAAGAATGCAATCTTAGAGCATTCACAAAATTCTAATACCATTCTAAGACATGGACTCTAAATTAAAATGTAACACAGGAGAAAGAAGCCTTTGGGCTTTTGTCTAAAAAAAGGCATGGGTTGGAACTTTCAGAGTTCTATAAAATCTATGACTGATTCCTCAAGAGAAATTTAACTGAGTACATAGCGATTTTTTTAGCTGATTTTATTGGCTTATTGTCCTTAATTATATCACCAAATCCAATGCTACAACTGCTGCCTGCAGGCGTCAAAAAGCCTGGTAAAAGCCACTGGGATATTGCAGGTTCCAAGGTGCACAGTGAGAATTGGATTCAGATCACTGAGATGAACATTGCTTGCTGAAATTTTAAGATCTTTTATTTTTTAACTTTTATTCTTATTCCCCTTACCATTCAGTAGCAGTGCGACACACACACACACCCTGGTTTTGATGTCAAAATAAATCTATCACTAAGACTGAAAAATTAATTACTTGCAAAAAGGCTCCATGAAAGAGACAGGCTGTTGGGCTTTAACAGCCAATACTAGTTGCCACCTGCATATATCCTATTAAACAATTAGCATGATGCTTCCCTGTCCCCCCTGTCAGCAACTGACATGTAAGTACCTTGTCACTTCTGTGAAGTATCAATTCTGTAGCAGTTAACTGAAAATGGATAGCTTCAATTCATTGAAAATATCATTCAAATTATTATATGATGTTGATAATACTATGAGGAAAAATATCCTCGGCTTGGTATTCAAGTAACATAAGATATATAAACCATGGCATTTCTTTGAGAGTGGCAGCAATTATTCCTACTGAAATCTATTGGCCTTATTAGGGGAAACTGTTTTTCTCAATGAAAAACCATTATGTTTAAAAGAAAAAAGATCTTTGCTTTTTTGCTACATGGACATTTCAAGGACTAACAACATCTATATAATAAAAGCCTAACCAACCGTTATGGCTGAATGACCAGAACAACCAGTCGCTGTGATGCACACTGATCACCAGGCAGCAGACACTCAATGCAGGAGCTGCCCCCTGGTGGTCAGTGCGCTCCCACAGGGGGAGTGCCACTCGGCCAGAAGCCAGGCTCACGGCAGGCAAGCGCAGTGGCAGTGGCAGGAGCCTCTCCTAGCAGCGCTAAGGAGCAGTGAGCCAAGCGGTAAGGAGCAGCGAGCAGACGGGCAGTAAGGAGTGAGGGGTCCTGGACTGCGAGAGGGCGCAGGCCGAGTTGAGGGACCCTCCTCCCCTTCCAGTTCACAAATTTCATGCACTGGGCCTCTAGTTTACATTATGAGTGTTTTTTTCACAGTCAGTTTCATGAGAACTAGTCGAACCTCCATTTTCTTTCTTTTTTATTGTTCATGTTCTTTCATAGTTATTTCTGTGCACACCTTATCACCATCATAAATAAAAGCATTCTAAGGTCAAGATACATATATGATTCATATTTGTATTTAATTAATACATCACAAAGTAAGTGTGTTGAATGAATGAATGCTTTAACACATTACTTTACTTTTACAGGCACCATGGTTCTATAGACACCATCTCCCTCAAGCATCATAAAAAAATAAAATGAACTCAGATATTATCCCCTCTGTGGAAGAGGAGCAAAACAACTGAAGCGTTAAGTGTCCCTCAGCGTGCAAGAAGCCCGAGCCGTAAAGTACTGGCTCAGAGTTCCTCAGGCCTAAATCCACGTTCTTCTCTTCCCTCTCTTTAATACATCCCTATATAAAAAATAGCATAAGCCCCTTCCTGTCAGCTAAGTCTAAAGCAAAATATATAAATCGTCACACTTGACCTGCCAACCAGGAATGCTTCTTCTGTAGATAAGCAGTGGTTGGAGCCTGCCATGGCAGACAGGGCAAAAGCTTGTATTGTCAAACTAAATAACTCATCTCTTTTTTTATTCAATTCAAGGGGGAGAATAGAACACAAATCCTCAATAATGCCAGGCAATAGTGAGTTCATATTTCTGTTTCAACCAGTTGCTAGATGTGTGACTCTGACCCAGTGAGTTAGAGGACTAAGCTTCAGTTCATCTGCAAAAGGTGAATAATGATACAAACTTCTCACAGTGGTTATAAAGGTGACCCTCCCCTGTTCTAGTTCTACCCAGACACTCATGTTTGGCTTTTTTCTTTCATGTAGATACTTATCTTCTAGATGTCAAGAATTCTACCATTAAGTGGGCAGGGGTGGAGACTACTTAATAATGTCTCAGACTATTGACAGTGTGGGAGTTCAATTCAGAGTTGAGGCTAACCTAAAGCATGGACACCTGGCATTCTCCTAGATGATATCAGAGAACATGTGGCAACAACTGATGACAATGAGGAGAAGAAAAGCTCATGGGGCTTAGTGTATGGGTAAAGGACCAGGAAATTCTAGAAGGAAGGAATGGACTTCCTCTAAACACCCTCACCCACCTCCATTTGTTCTATTTCCTCCTGGAGAAATGTCATGACCGTCTTTCTTTATCCTCCCTTCTGATACTTAAGATGATAACTCTATGGTCTACTACCCTTTGAGCCTTCCCTTTTGAGTTTTGAAGTTCTAGACTGGACAAAAGACAATTAAGGAAACCCAATACAAAACCCTGAACTGCTTCTTTCTCTTGGCCTCCTGCTCTAAAAATCCTAATTCTGTTCAGGTGTGGTGAGTGCCTCTGATTTAGTAGGGAAGGGTCTTTTTTTTCTAACTTTGTTAAGGTACTAGCTCAATATTTGATTCTTTTCTGGGTGTTTTCATCTTTTTGGGGTTAAACATTGGGAGAATTTTTCCAATTTAACATTTTTGCATCTTATCCATCTCACATAATGCACATTCAATATTTTTTAAATACTGATATATCAAATAAAAAAACAAAACAAAACTGAGTGTCTGCTATAAGCCAAACACTACACTGGATATTGGTAATACAATGATGACCCCATCTTGTTCCTACCTTTTAGGGACTCACAGTTAAGTGGACTAGGCAGTTATGTGTACAAACAATTAACATAATGTACTTAGTATTCAAATATGGGCTTCAACCAACAGACAAGAAAGACAACTGTCTCATCTTTGAGGGCAGCAGAAGGCACATTTGAACTGACTCTTGAAAGACAAGTAGAACTTGAGTACTAACTGAGGTAAAGTGCATTTCAGGCAAAGGAACTGGCTTGTCCCAAGTAACAGAGAGGGCAAACAGCATGGCAAAGTTTACCAACAGCTGCTCATAGGAAAGAGGCTAAAAACAATAGCTATACATGTTAGCAATACTTTCATTTGGGCTTTATCTGGTAGGCAATAAGCAGCCATTAATGGCTATTAAACAGAGTATGGTTACATGTCTATGTGAGGATTTTCTGTACACACACACACTCACACACACACACACACACACAGTAATTCTTGCAAATGTGCACCAGAGGCACAAAAATGTTCATAGTAATATTTCAAAGTACAAAGACAAACAAACTACAACTACTCATAGCAAGATAAGTTTTACTAATATAATATCCTAAAATATTTAAAACAGTTTGATATCATCTATACTAATAATAGCCTAGGGCCGTCACCACCAGATGGCCGACCAGTCACCATGAGGGGACCCCGACTGGATGGGCGCGGGGCCGGCCTTCAAACCACATGGTGGCCTCTAGCCCAGGCCTGGGAGGCACCGGGGGCCGGGTGTGTGCGGAGCAGTCTTTTAAAAATAAAGAAAGGACGAGTGCCGACGTTGGCATCCCCAGAGTCGGTGGTGGGTGACAGTGATGGCCCAGGAGCAGATGGCAGCGGCTGGGGGCGGTGGGTGTGGGGCGTGGATGCCCGCAGCATCGGCTGGGGCATCACACCAGCCTCAACCCTTAAATGGTGCTGCTGGCCAAGAACCTGCTGAAGCCGCTGCCTGCGGACAAGCAGATCAAGACTGGGCCCTTCCTGGAGGCAGTGTCCCACCTGCTGCCCTTCTTTGATTGCCTTGGGTCCCCAGTGTTTATACCCATCAAGGCAGACATAAGTGGTAACATCACGAAAATCAAAGCTGTGTACAACACCGACCCGGCCAAGTTTCAGACCCTGCAGAACATCCTGGAGGCGGAGAAGGAAATGTATGGAGCAGAGTGGCTCAAAGTGGGGGCCACGCTGGTGCTGATGTGGCTGAAAAGGGGCCTCCGCTTCATCCAGGTCTACCTGCAGAGCATCTGCGAGGGGGAGCGGGATGAGAGCCACCCCAACCTCATCCGCATCAACGCCACCAAGGCCTACAAGATGGCGCTCAAGAAGTACCACAGCTGGATTTTGCAGAAGCTCTTCCAGGTAGCGCTGTATGCCGCGTCCTACACATCCGACTCCCTGAAAGTGCTCTCCAAGGGCCAGAACATGATGGAGGAAGAGTGCCTGGAGAAGGTCTGCCTGATCCTGGTCAACTACATGGCCAGCATTGACGTCATCTACGAGATGTACACCAAGATGAACACGGAGCTCAACTACAAGGTGTAGGCATGCCCAGCAGCTGGCACTCCCAGAAACAGACAAACCAGAATCACTGTGAAGCAAGCTCGAGGCCGCCTTGGCCTGCGTCTTCCAGAGTGGCCCAGAGTCTGGCTGGGGTTGCAGGGGACATCTCTGGTTTCTGAAAAGTCATTTTTGGGGTCTATCCTAACAGAGCAGTAAATAACCACCCTACTTCTGAATCACCTTTGAATTTCATGGTGGCACAGAAAGATTGCCTTCATTTCAGTGTGATAAAAATCAGTTAATGTTGCTAATAAGTCAAGTCCTAGGATTTTCTGTCCCCGTCCCCCCATGTGGCACATGACCCCAGGGGAGCCCTGTCATACACCTCATTTTAAAAATGAGGATCTGGTGCAGTGATGTGTCGGTGTTTCAGGTCATCTAAGGATCACGAGGAGTCTGATTTGAAATTATATAGGATTTTTTTTTAAAGCAAACTGCTATGTGCTCCTGTGGTTGCACAGCCCAGCCTCACAGTGCTGTCAGTATAGACCCTACTCTTTCCTACTGTCTTTTTCCAGACTGTTTTTTTTTTTTTTAAATATATTTTATTGATTTTTTACAGAGAGGAAGGGAGAGAGATAGAGAGTTAGAAACATTGATGAGAGAGAAACATCGATCAGCTGCCTCCTGCACATCTCCTACTAGGGATATGCCCACAACCCAGGTACATGCTCTTGACCGGAATTGAACCTGGGACCTTTCAGTCTGCAGGCCGATGCTCTATCCACTGAGCCAAACTGGTTTCAGCCAGACTGTTTTTTATAGTTGAGAACAACCAGCAAGCCTTTGATGACCTTGCCCAAGGGGACTTTATTTTAAAGTTATCAGGTATGAGTAACTGACCACAGATGACTGAATTTGCATTTTTCTGCATAAGTATTTCCTTCAGGAACAGCCTACCTCACCTAAGAAACTACCTATCATGTGTGTTCTCTCAGAGGGGAGACCACAAGCCCTCCCCATGCCGAGACCCAAGGAATCACCTTGCTGCTTTAACTGTCCCTCCTGGCACTAACAAGAGCTGTATTTTGAAAGTGTTGGGGTGAATAGAGGGACCCCCAAAGAATTCATGTGTGTTAAAAACCCTATGAGGAACAATTGGTGATTTTTATGCAAACACTAAATAATTCTTAATAAATAAATCTCTACTTTAGAATTAAAAAAAATCCTATATAATAAAGAGGTAATATGCAAATTGACCATCACATCCTCACACAAGATGGCCACCTCCATGTGGTCACAAGATAGATGCCCCATGTTGTCACAAGATGGCTGGCAGGGGAGGGCAGTTGGGGGAGACCAGATCAGCAGGGGAAGGCAGGTGACTGGGGCTGCAGAGGAGGAAGGGCAGTTGGAGGGGACCATGCTGGCAGGGGAGGGCAATTAGGAGTGACCGAGCCAGCAGTGGAAGGCAGTTGGGGGCAATTGAACCGGCAGGGGAGCAGTTAGGCATCAATCAGGCTGGCAGGGGAGTGGCTAGGGGGTGATCAGGCTGGCAGGCAGAAGTGGTTAGAGGCAATCAGGCAGGCAGGCAGGCAAGTGGTTGGGAGCCAGCAGCATTGGATTGTGAGAGGGATGTCCAACTGCCAGTTTAGGCCCGATCCCTGTGGGTAGTTGGACATCTCCCGAGGGGTCCCAGATTGGAGAGGGTGCAGGCTGGGCTGAGGGACAACCCCCCGCCCCCGTGCATGAATTTTGCGCACTGGGCCTCTAGTATATCAATAAATACCAATGCAACTAAAACCCACACTACATTGTTCAGGCATAAATACATATGTGAAGAAACTATTAATTACTACAAGTGAGTGATAAACATGTGAATTTACCCCTTGACTAAACAATCACAAACATAAAGAGGCAGAGGTATGAAACAATAAGGCCTTTATTGTGGTATTACTTCCAAAAGCAAACCACTGGACTAAACTAAAATGTCCATCAGCAGGAAAAGCATGAATAAAACATGGAACATCAATACAACTGAATAACATATAACCTCAAAAAGAAGAAAATATTTGTGAAGTGAACTTTAGACTAGATTTCTTAATTTAAGAAAACATTTATTATTATTAATTATTATTATTATTATTTAAACTACTTTATCGAGGTATGATTGGCATATAAAAGCTGTGTTGATTTTTATGTATACAACTCCATGAATTTAGGGGATAAGTATATACCCATAAAACCAGCACCACCACCATAAACACTGAGTGAGAAAAATAACAATAACAAAGTCCAGAACAGTGTTTCAAAAATAAATACTGGAAGGAAAAAATAAAGACTAAAAATGGTTCCCTACAAGGAGAGAGAAGGAATATAGCAGAGGACAATCTAGAAGTGAGAATTCTCTTATGGATATAGTTTTATTTTTCAAAATATAAAAATTTGATATTTGTATGATAAAAAATAAATGAAAAATAAATCAATAAAATTGAAAAAAATAAAATGAATAAAACACTGCACAGAACACTGATAAATCAATAACCCAGGAAAAATATATATTATTTCAAGTGAAAAATATAATTTCAACCAAATTTAGCAAACAGTGGTTTGATTGCAGATCCATAGAGGAAAATTACCTAACCATTAATAAAGCTTCGAAGAAATTATAAACTGAATTCGTAAGCTTAATTGTTAGTCATAATACTGTGTGTTTTTTTTTTTCTTTTTTTGCTTTGTTTTGTTTTGTCTTGAATGAACGGTTCAAAGTTGCTCTTGGAAGAGGAAGCCAGTGATAACTGTCATTTCAGGGGTCACAAAACTGACCTCACATCTCATGTTCTGTGTACATACTACATTGTTTTTCACAAAGTTCCCATCTCACTTAAAATTTTAAAATATGTTTTAATATTTAACCTTTTTCTGCAAATTATAAAATAAAATTGACCTTCAAAAAAGTGAATTACTTTCATCTATGATTTTAAATACCGAAGCTCATTACAGTAACTGCATTGCCGTAAGTAGGCTCAGTAAAGCATGAAACCCACAGAAATCCTTTGTAAAAATGTGCTGATTAATGATCTATTCTCTTTGTGAAACCACCTATTATGCCAAGGGACTGACTAGACCAGAGAAAGTAAAGATAAGCCTAGAAAGGAGAGTCTCATTTCTAACCTTAATGTTCCCCTGACAAACACACCCAACCCAGAAGAGACAGCAACACTCACTGTGCTGGTCTTTAGCAAATTCTACTATGTGTGAAGTCCTACATCTAATATAATATATTTAAAATATATTATAAATCCCATTACAACTTTAGAATACTAGGTTGAGGAGAGCTTACATAGCACCACATCATATTACAGGCAAAAATTGTGTTGCAGAAAGGATATTGTTTTGATAGATTATTATACCTGGGATACCTGAAGGTATAGAGATTATTTCATTTGATTTTCATTTCATTCTTATGAATCTGGTTAATGTGGAAACTCAGGCAAGAGATTTTCTACCATCACTTACCAGAGCTGAAGCTGGAACTAACAGTCCTTGCTTTCAGACCTTCCTATTCAGGTGTCATGTTGGACGTTCACAATTATAAACGTTTATATGGCAAATAGTGCTATTCACATCACTCAGATTTTAGTTGATTTTTGACATTATCTTGAATTGTCTGTCTGCTTTATCTCACCTTTTAGGTTAGAACCAACTCTTCCTCTTCAGCATTCAACGTATTGAATGCTGATATATCTAGTATAATCTAAATATCATAGTTATTAAAAAATAACCCCAATGTCTATTTTAAAATATTAAATATGGGCTCTTAAAGCTATGCAAATAGTGTAACTTCCAAAAACCTCAATAAATTCCTTCTATTTAAAATGTATAAGTAAAATATGTTATAAATGTCTTTTTGAAAATAGCCTCTCCAACTTATTATACAGCATGCTGAATATATTTTTATTGAAAACAAGAACTATTGTACTTACGAATGATGACATGCTCATAAAACATACACACAGTGCCTCAAGGAGGGCAAAAATTTCTCACGTCCACATTTGGTGTGCAAATGATGCAAACAAGTTCCTGAGGTAATGAGAGACTGGAGAATTTGGCTTAGAAATGCTTTAGAAACACATGTCTATATTTAACATGTATTTATACAGTTGGTAAGTAATTGAAGAGAAAGCTAGTAGATGGCCAGAAGAACACAATGATCAGAATGCAAAAATTGCTCTTGTTGAAAGTGTTGCTCTTTTAATATTCTGGTGGCTTGCTCAGCTCTATCAGCTAGCCTATGACAGGGGAAAACCCACAACTCCCCACTGTGGTTGCCTTCTTACATATCCTTTGTAGAATCCATTGGTTATGCAGTAAAATGGATTCACAAGGTATAGCAAATTTTCTATCCTGGGACCACTACAAATCCTATTAAATGAAAAAGACTGCATAGCTCTCAAGACCTTTCACTAAACTCCAGGCTACCATTTCATCAGCATCATTTCTGCTGATTTCCCCAATGCATTCTTCGGAACAACTCAAGAAAATCTTGTCACGTACTCCCAATCTTGTTTTCCTTCAATGCTGTCAGCTTTAACTTCTCATTTGACTTACTTGAGCTGATCAGTTCAATTTCATGCAACTCACCAAAGGTTACTGAGCAGCTGCTACGTACCAGGCATGCTGCAAGGTGTCAATGATATACCTAAGACAAAGGCACGCATCTGTATCTGAAGATTCAGACATAATAAAACAAAAAACTTGCCTGGCTGGTGTGGCTCAGTGGTTGAGTGTCAACCTATGAACCAGGAGGCCACCGTTCAATTCCTGGTTGCGGGCTCGATCCCCAGTCTGGGGCGAGCAGGAGTCAGCTAATCAATGATTCTCTCTCATCATTTATGTTTCTATCTCTCTCTCCCTTCCTCTCTGAAATCAATATAAATATATTAAAATAAAATTTAGAAAAACAAAAACCTGCTCCATTTTCTTTGTACATAATCCACTCTCTCCTTTTTCCTGCCACAACCTTCCTCACTTCTACTGCT